AAAGAAGAGTAAGGAACAAATGTATAGTAAGTCACATTCATTTGTGACAAAACTTGTACTATTTTCAGAATGAAGGTCTAGATCAAAAAAAATGTTTTAATGGTGTAAAATCCATCTAAATCTGACTTATGTCTCTAATTCCAAAACAGAAGTGATGAAACCCCTTGCTCAGGTACTGAAATGAGAGTAGCAGCTCTTATTTTAGTCAGCAGAGCTATATGCAGAAATAGATTACTAAAAGCAGTGATAGTCATTTGGAGATCGTATCTGTATGAATGTAGCAAAAGGTTCGAAAGTACTATCAGTCGGTTAAACAATGCTGTTACTTTTGTTTAAAGACTTGTGACTAAACTCGGTATTTTTGAAGAGGTAACAGATCATTGCATTTGGCATGGTTTTACAGCCTTCTAATCTAATTTTATCTTGAAACTTACAGTAAGCTAATGACTGACTTAAAAGAAACTGGAATTCTTTATATATGTGGATTTTTAGCTTGGAAAACGCCTGAGAACTAGTACTTTGCACAAGCAGTTACAGCACTCTTAGAATGTCCCTAGTCTGAAGAAGCTCTTATTACAGTGACTATGCTAGTAATCTGATCTTCCAGAACAGTGATAAAAGACACACTCCCCCCCCCCCCTCAAATTCAGGTTTGGTAGCAACAAAAATGATACTCGCACCCTCCTTCAGCCCACTCCTCTGTGTATCATCAGTAAGTCTTTGCTGCAGAAAAACTTTGTGATTTTGCAGCTTTGCTGCTGGAGTAGTTTACAGCTGTCAAAGCGGGAACCTCTGGAGAGGATTTTAAATTACAAACATGTACAGAGGACCTTGGTCTTCTGTTTATGTAAGCAAAGTATAATTAGGCAGATGTGAACCATGTATGCCAGTCGTACAAGAATGTGATGTTTAATCATCTGTGAAAAGACATGGTAAGATATCTAACTTCAAAGTATAATATTCTTGTTTGAATTTATATTTCTATGCCATTTAGAACACCATATTTCAGGTTACACTTTAGGCATTGTATTACACAGTAACTGGTAAGAGAATACTGTGAAATAATAATCTGTATCACAGGATTTCAGACGCTTTTCTGAAATATTTCTTCCCATCATGGTGGTACATGATGGTTGTTAATGGCTGAAACACCTAGTGACAGCTCACTGGTAGCCTTCTGTGCTAACTTGTTACAAGAAAAATGTCAGTTTCAGGATTAAACACTTCAGTCTCGCTACCTTCGCCTGATATCTGACTTACGACTTTTACAGGTGCTTATGTATTTTCAACTAGCTTTGAAAAATCTGTATTTTGCTGCAGCAGTGGTGCGTCACATTCGCCTGAACTCAAAACTGGTTTTGCTGAACGGCAGGGATCTAAAATCCAGTGTTCTTTTTGTAACCAGTAGTTTGAGCCGAGTTTGGTGTAGAGCATACCCTATGGCAGGGTAGCAAGTTAGTTATCAGCTGCTTTACAGCAATTGCTTATGTGTCCAGGATGCATCTGTTACCTGAGGCACACTAATAGGTAGCAAGTGGTGTTTTTAGATACAGGGGTAATTGTTTTCAGAAATAGCAATGATACTGTATCTCATCCTACAAGAAGAACTTTTTCTTATGACACCATAGACAAAGATACAAGTTAATTTTAAATTACAGAAAGATAAAGAATGCATAGTTGCTGGTTTAGAAACTTAAAGGATGTTATGCATGTATCATTGGATGGGCTTGTCTGGACAAAAGAAAAGCTATAGCAGGTCAGACTAGATGTTTATCTGGGTATCTCTGAGAGCAATCTGTAGTAGATGCTTAGGGAGGGGTATAGGAGCGTAACAGTCATGGGGTGCTACTTCCTAGACCAGTCCCCCAGACTGTAGCAATTTGTGGTTTGGGATCTTCTGGGAACCAGAACTTGTCTTTTGGATTTAATAACCCTTGATGGGAGTCCCTGATCTGGAGGTTATCCAGGGATTTCTTTTTTTTTTTTTTTTCTTATATATATGCATACATTTTTAGTATCTGTAAAGTCTTGTGCTGAAGTTTTGGGATTTTGGCATGATTCAGTACAGCATGATTGATTCAGTACAGCATGATTGCTTTTGAAGTGTGATTTATTATGGCATATATCATCCTCCACACTTAAGCATTTTCTTAATTAAGTAGCTTGAATCTTCTTGAAAGATATTCCACAGTTTGCCTTATTTAGTTGGTTTGGAATTGTAAGTCTGAACAGCAGTAGTGGCAAAAAAAAAAACAAACACAAAAGAAAATTTAAAGTGGAAAAGCAAAATATTTGGGTATCTCCCTTGCAGGTGATTATTTAGCCTTGATACTGTTCTTGTTCCAAAAACTCTTTCAAAGAATATATGTTTTAAGTAATGCATAGTTTGGTAGGAGAAATGAAAGAAATGCTGCACCTTTATCAAACTGAAAAGTAAGCAAATTTTTATTTCCAAACTAACCCTGGAAAAATTATATAATCAGTGTTGAAGTTATATTTTTGCTACTTAGCTACCTATAGTATTTGGGAGCACTGGTAGTTAGTCTTGTTTCTAAACCAACTTGTAAACATTGTTGATATATTACACTGATTAAATCCTGATTGGCCAGTCACTTCTTGCCATGTTACATGTGTCAGGAATGTTATGCGATAGATCTATAAATTATAATCTTATCTTAAAGGCTCAGTCTTCATGGTTTGTATATAAGAATGCAATATAGTCAAAATCACTATATCTTTGAGCAGGAGATATTTTGGAAAACTTCCAAACATATTTATTAAAAACATAATAAAACCTAGGTACTTTAAGCAATTCTGTAGTTATAATTTCTCATGTTTCAGAATGATCTTAATGGAATAGTACATGCTCTACTAAACTTTCCAGATAGTTAATATTGAAGTCTTGTTTGTGGCATATATTTGAAGACATGTAATTTTAGGTAAATATTACATGGGGAGGAGACTCAAAGCAATTGTTCCTGTAACTCCAAGTCAATCTTCATGGGATAAAACTAATTGCAGCCCTTGTCCTGCAACAAATTTTCATGATTTTTTTTTTTAAATAAATAAATTAATACATGTACACGTTGAAAACATGACATTTTGGTAACAAACAGGTCTTGAAAAGCTCCTTGTGACACTTGTTCCCTGGTTTTACTGTGCAAAAAAGCGGAGAGGCTGAAAAGCCAGTCTTGCTAGGCATGCATTTAAACTGAGATTCTATTATTATTTTTTTTTTTTTTTTTTTTTTTTTTAATATATATGCTAGCTTTCATCCTTGCAGATTCTCTGATTCTCTCCTTCAAGTCACCTGTTTGTCTTTAAAACTGTTTTACTCTGGTGATTCAGAGCAGCTGGAAACAGTTTGCTAGGCTGGTGTGACATCAGCAAATTGGTGAACTGATAAGACAGCTGTTAATATTTACCAAAAATTGTAACAGAAAGCTTGATGCTGGTTTGTGTCCATCTTATTTTAGATACCACCTAGGAATACAATTTTTAAAATTTGTGTTCAAAATTATTGTATTTGTTTAATAAACAAAATGTTTATTAAACAAATATTTATATAAGAGACTAATAATATTAAACATCTTTGAAATATTTTATAACTACACATTTGTTTAAAGAAGCTTGATAACAAAGCTGTGTGACCCCCTTAGGAGGGAAATGATCATTCTGGGGGCAAAGAAAGCTAAACCAACACAGGAAACATCACAGCTGGCTTTAGTCACCATAGCAACCTTAGAAATTTTTTTTTTAATTCCGTTGACAGGTTTTATGAAAGATGATGCATACCTATGCTGAGAAATAAGGTGAAAATCAGCGCTGTTCTGTCTAGTGCAAGAATGGAAGAGGAACATAAAGCATCAATCCTTTGTGGAAAAAAATTTCCAAAACAGTACAAAATTGTAGGCATTATGGGCCATAAAAGCTAACCTTCATATTGTTTAAGTTATGTCATAAACTAGCTAAACTTTATACAGTTTTTGTGACATACCTGAAGATTCATTGTGGTGTTTAAGCAAAAGACAAAAAATAATATTTTTCATTAAAGGGCTTAGTAGTAATATTCCAACTTTATGTAATCATTAATGCCATAGAAAATTAGTGTATAAGTAAGCATGGTTTGATTAGAACATTATCAACGAAGAACTTCGATGAAATTCAGATCTAATCTCTTCTACTTTGTTGGAATAGTATCATCACAAAAATGAAATTCTTGGATCATCTCTCTTCTCATTTTTCTATAGAACAGATGTTTTAAAGGTGTTTGGCTACAGTTACAACAGCGTAGAAAAGAATAAAGAATACAATTTATATATCTGACAAAAACTGAATATCCTGAAAGTTAAAGTTAACTCCCTATGCAAGACAAGCTAGTAGGTTTGATTTTTTTTTTGTTGTTGTGTGTTGAGTTGGTTAGTTGTATGTTGTATGTACAGTGTTCCTTACACTGGCTTGGCTACAATGCCAAGTACAAGCCTTTAATTGTGACGGGGTTACTTTGACAGAGTCTTTTGTAGCATGTACTACAAGTCATGCCATGACCTTCTTGTTTGAAGGTGTGCATTATAGATGTTTTAATTATTTCAGGCCTTTTAAAGTAAACAATGCAGAAAATTAAAAGAACAGTATACTACATAACTTATGCTTTTGTTACATAGTCATCTTGTTATGGAAAAAATATAGACATTTAGATGAATACTTTATTTTTTTTTTTTTCCCCTTTCTTGTTCTTGTGAGGAATGTGTGTGTATTTGAATGCTTTTCAGGTACTATTTCCTTCTCTCTTCCTTTACCTTCTAAAAACGCAAATCCTTTTGAATAAGAATTTGGGCAAAGCTTTTCAGATGCCAATTCGATTCATGAAAATAAGCAGGTTTTCCATAACTTTGTCACAGGCGTTTATCACACATTTGCATATAAAGCTCAGTGATTCTTTTGACAACTTTAAATGTTCTGCAAAACTGTATAGTACTCCTGTGTGTTCATGTTTACAGGCTGTACATCTGGCCCAGGCAAGTTTCCAGATTGAGGCCTTTGGCTCCAAATTCATCCTTGACCTCACACTGAATAAGTAAGTGAACAATTTGAGGTTTCTTTTTTTCCTGCTCTTACTGTCTTTAACTTACGGTACAAAGTCAGGGCACATGAAATCCCAAGATCTGTGGAAAAATATGCTGTTACCAAGTTTTTTAATACAAAATAAAATTTAGGCTTTTTTAGATGACGTGACTGTTACCCTTGCTGACACCTATAATATACATACCCTTAAATGTTATCATTCATGACAAATAAATGATGACAGAGAGATTTTGGTGCCCGTTGTGCTTGAAATGTGTGGCTTTTCTTGTGCATTTTTTTACTTGATAAACTGTCATGCAGATGTTATTTTAGTTGCTAATGTCAGTGTGTCGAAATATTGTAAATGCTGGCTCATCTTTAATGATCTGGGAAACGTGTTATCGTCACTATCATCATTAAGTTCCTAATGAAGTAGGAATCCTAACAGTTTTCCTGTACTGAAAGGTGCAGCTAGAGTCTGTTTACCTGTAAGATAGACAATTTTCCATAATTGTCAGGTCTAAAAGATCTGACTTGTAATACAGGTCAATGGTGGTTTAGTTGTTTGTGTCACATCTATTTATATCTCAGTTGAAGGTATAAAACTAGGTGTTTTTCTAAAAGTTGTCGTGAAGCTTTTTGCCACTTAAAAGTTTGCACTGAGAAAGTTTAAGAATAATGTAGAAGTGTAAAATCAGTACTAAATACTTACCAATATTGCTTAAAAGTGCATTTGCCCCTTCTGCTGCCCTTGAGCCTTTCATTACACTTAAAGGAGAAATAAATAATTTACAGAAACAATTGCATACTGGTTTAAAAAAGAAAAAAAAAGCGTTCCTCCGGTCCATGTGAGGTCTTAGTTTGGTCTTGTCATGTAATGAAAGTTTTCTTAGGGAGAATAATGCAAGCTTATTAAATCTAATCACTTTTCAAAGTGATAGGCTGCGGATTTGTAAAATTTGAACTGTTATATTCACATATTTTGTTGCCTAGCTTTTAGTTATTGGTGTTTTGCTGTAAAGGTGAACTGCAGACATTTTCCTTCATCCATGCATGATTCTGAAGTGAGATTGTTCTTGCAGTAATGTCTTAAAATATGACACAAAGTCTTGAGTGGCTGGCAAAAGATGTGTTAGTATCAAGCAGGGGATGGCATGCAGAATGGAAGGAGAAAGAAAGCTTGAAGATAACTGGGTGTTCTCTATCCTCTGGAAGAACTATAGTGTAGTGCAAGACTGGTGTTTTATGAGACCCATGCAGAGTAATTCCTGTGGGATAATCATGACATTCGTGAAGGGAACCTTTATCTAGTGGTCTCTAAGCCACAGGGAGTTTCTCCTCTTGGTCTGCTTTGCCATTGTTCCTGTTTGTACATCCAGCCAATAGCAAGGCTGAGCACACATTCCCACGATAGCGCTATGCATAGGATATGGTCACACAGACCATCACAGATTAAAAAACATTGCCTTTACTGGTACCACTTATAAATGCAACCAGGAGTCAGGTGAGCAAGAATACAGACAGCCTGATAAGGTTATTCTCTAGCTGATGGGAACCGGAAATTTTCTGGTGAAACACGTGCACCAGCCCTTACCTGATTCACAAGCGTGTCCACATTCACAGACTCAAATGTTAACACAGGCTTTAAGTTCATTAATTATTAATGTCTAGGCCTAAGGTCTCTCACTTGGTCACTTACACCCTAAGTTTTTCTAGGTGCAGGTTTTCTCACAGTTGTTGACTGACTCTGAAGTTTGCTTGCACATCAGACCTATGCAGAGTAGAGAGCAAAGTCACACAAAAAATATTACAAGACTCAATAAAAACATAGGACAGACTGCTATGATCAGGTGCAGGGCTGGGCCAAGCAAACCTACTGTCTTGCAGCTTACACTAATGACTTCTTTTTATGTCACTTCTGCTCCGTTTTTACTACAGTCTATTCTGTCCTGATTCACCTTCCCTATCTGTCGCGATTCCTCTGAACATACCATAAAAATGTTTGCACATTTTCACAAGCCCCTACACACATCATGTAATAAGTTTTTTCTTTCCCAGGAGACCCATAATGACACTGTTTACCACTTCTTATCTGTTGTAAAGTTCTGGTTGAACCTCTTCAAGGCCATGCCTGAATGGCTCCTTCCCTGGCCCATCAGTCAGTGACCTAAGAGAGGTAACAGCAAAGACCAGAACTCTTATCTCCTGTTCATTAGGATTTGTGTGTCTGGGTATTGGTTGCTTTTCCTGTCATAGTCTCTTATGTTGAATGGCTGTTAACCAAATCCATCACAATCCAAACAACCTTATGTTCCCTGTATCTTTGCAATGTTACCTGTTGCCCAGCCTTGGTCTTTGTTCTTGCTTACGTATAGCAACAAATGGTCCATAAAGAAAGTAAGTGTATATATATTTTTCCAGCTGTGTTTGCTTTATCAGCAATCAAGAAATGCAATGTCTTTCATGTCAAAAAGAGAGAGGCAGATTACTTGTGTGCACCTTACACGAGTAAGTTCTGCCTATGGGGTATCAAGAACTTTCTTACTGGCGACATGTAAGGTGCAGGGTGTTCAAGTGCCTTACTGGTATCCCCACAGTTTGCCTCTTTATACATTAGGTTTTCTAGCTTCCTAGGTGATTTTTGACTCACAAACATTTGACTCTCTGATTCTGCTCCAGAAAATAATGACTTAAAAAACCTGTCCTACTTTTTGACCTGGTATAACACTCTAAAACTGTAAGTCATTAAACTTGTAACATCATAGATTGTAAACACTCATAGACAACAATTTGGAAAAGAGTCATTCTCGTATCTCAGTTACATTTTTGTGTTCACCAAAATGCTGCCTTTTGCTACTGTGTTGGATTGTGAACGATTTATTTGGCTTGCTGGTGTTACTAATGTCTAGTCAGAAGGAAAGGCAGAACAACAACAGGGCTACAGAATTGAGCTAGTAGATGCTATTGGCCAAAATAATCCATTTGCATGTGGAATACATTCAAGGGTATTCTGGATTTTGAATACATGTTGAATACCTACTTTTGTCAGTTACTGTAAGGTGAGTTAATGTCACCTACTCTGTGTATTCTGGTTTTGTGTCTGCCTTTTTTAGGAAAGCTCTTTGAGTATATAAAGCTAAAATAAAGGTGGTTGTTGCTTACAAACAGGCTCTAGATTTAAGTTTTCTTTACCTTGATTGGAATCCCTGTCTTTGCCTGCCTTCTATGTTCCAGCTGCTCTGTTTTGTTTTTTTTTTCACACCAAGCTTTAGAACGGGGGGTAAGGAAAATTGGATATTCACTGGCATTAATAGCTGTCACGATTTTGTAAAAAGAGCAGGTGGCAATCTTTAAGTTTGAGGCATGTTAATGTAAATTTTGTACTTGATGTTTTATATCTTGCTATAGTGTGATGGCACAAACAGCTTGAAGGAAATATAAGCAAATCAAACCTCTTGAATCCAGTGTGCAAGACAAGTCAAATGTAAGATTTCTATGAAGTTTGAACGGGTAATGAACTTTTCAGTTGCATAAGGTCTATGGGTGTTAAAACTGCTGAAATACAATGTGTTATCCTAAAGGTTGGCAGCTTTTTCTGACAAGACCAGGGAAAAAGGTTAGAGAGTTAATGCTTTTGGTACAAAAATGAAAGATTATGTGGTACTAGTGGGCTAATAATCCTGTTCGAAAAATTAGGGATTTTTTTAATAATTCAGCTATGATTATCTGTCCAAACTTGATAAATTCCCTATGCAATAAGTAACATGTAACATTGTCTTGCCCTGTTTATATGAAAAGCCTTTTAAAGTGTTAATGAATTTCAGTAAATTCATATTTTTGTCCTCAAACAATACTTTGAATTCATTGGTGGTAACAATGTAGTTGAGTAGTCAGTGATATTAGTAGACTGAAACAATTTCTTATTTTTTGTTTATGTATTACATACACAAATGTCTGTCAGGTGCTAACAAATTACCTTTTTCACCAACAGTTAAAAGGCTTGTAAGTTGTCCTTCTATGGAAGGACAAGTGTTTCTGCAGGTAGCTCTTATGTCCTGTTTAAAGATAGCAGTCTTTATGTTCCAGTGTAATATTAAAACACGAGAGAGCAATACTACCAAAAGCACTGAATTAAAAATGCCTACTTGTTGTTTTTTTTTAGTGATGAGGTAAGTTGGCTATATTGCCTGGCAGTTTTCAGTGGATGGTCTAGCACCAGTCTCTAAATAAAGGAGTCTCCTCCAGCACTGGAGCATGCTATAGCTTTCCCCCGTTGGGACTGTGGTGGCTGAGGTAGATACAAGGATTGGGGAATTAGGTGCCTGAGCTGCACAGAAACAGGAGGTAAAAATCTAAGACAAGAACTTTTCTCCCTTCCTGCTGAAAACTTTCCTCAACATTTAGGATTTTGGGGAAAATGGGGGAAATCACCAAAACCAGCCTGTACATCGCAGCTTTTTAATTTTCCCTGTAGAAGTCCACCTTTCCAGGAAAATGGACTTTTCTTTCCAAGTAAGAGATAATATGGAAAAAAGAAAAAAAATCTGATCTCTTTGGCATAAACTGAAAAAAATCCCCAAAGCTACCACTTGTGACTATAACATGACTTAAATATTTGAGATATTGGAATATGATGACTGTTGTGGAAAGTCAGTTTCTTATGTGAAGTGCAGCATTACCACCACTTTATTTATCAGTTTAAAGCTCAGAATTATTGTGTAGTCTTTGTGGTCTATGCTCCTATAGGGCTAACTTCAACTTAAGAATAGCCCCAAAGGAGATTACATTCTTGGCATGGTTTAGAAAACAACAATGCAGTAACTGGTTACTTGAGAATCTGTTTGATTCTTGTTTTTTATCAAAATTATTTTTTAATGGAAATTGGAAAACTAGTCACAGTTTTCCAGAAGGAAACTTCAAATATTTTTAACATTTTCTTAAATAAAAGCTTAAACATTTAGGATGCTAAATGGAACCTGTAAGATACACAGGCTGTGTAAATTAAATGTGATA